AGAAAGATTTTATAACAGTTCCCACCAAAAGAGCTGAACAACATGAGCTTGTCTCTTCTTTATGAAATTAACTTCAATCCTTGCCGTTTCTCTTTACATTCTGTCAGGTTCCTTTGTTACTCAATATTATCCCATTTTATGCCAAAACGATATGAACTTGGCAACTGGACAAATTAATGAAAATCTTTAGGTATAAAGAAACTTACGTGTCTCTGAGCTTAATTAGGTTCTTTCAACACGACTTCAGAATTTCTGACAATAGATAGAACTTCTTCCTTAAGCTTCTCTATGATCTGCATTAACAAAAGGGAAACGTATTTGGTTCATATGGAAAAATTGACCAATTTGATAGCATATCATGAGGCATACCAAGCTTGAGGTCTTAGCCCATTTTAAGATTGATGTAGCAGTATCCTTCAAATAGTTGTGACCCGCAAGGTCATAACTTATAGAATACTCTGAATTTTCGGTTGCTTCTGCCACCCACAGGTTATTCACTTGATCTTTAGGTCTTTTGATGAGATTACGAAACACAACCTGCAAAGATTATTTTCACATAAATTTATGGAAGACATGATCTTTATGATTTACTAGTGATTGTTATCAGAAACCAATCTGTAGTACTTTCTTGAAATTTGTTAAACTGGTAGAATCTTCGGGAATTCAATATCTTAAACAAAAAGACTATTACACTTGAGAAATTATGCATACAACGTTCTCAAGAAAAATGGTTTCAATGTCGTGGAAAATAAACTGAGAAAGTTGTTGAGTAAAGTGAGGTAGAGTAACATACGGATGACGGTGTGGTCTGATTTATGTTCTTTCTGGTTATGCAGGAATTATTACTGGCTATAATAAAAACGAAGCTATATCATAATCAAATGTAGCTCGTAGTCCATTCGATCCTATCAATAGACTTCCCCAATTTCGTGTCAAAAAACAAAACTGAAAGATCATCCAACTGAAAATGTACCCCCTGCTTGATCCCCCATTCTTTAAAAATTTATTTTCAACCACAAATTCTAATAAATAATTTTACATGTAAAACCAAAACTTTCCCTATTTTTTAATTATATATTCCCCAACAAAAACACTATTACAAAATCCGTTCTCTATAAAAATGGGGCTCAAACAAACTCATAATACATATACTTTGACAAAACTACAAGAACAAGTTAATGATGAAGGATGTGTCGTGTACTTATAAGTACTTACCACAGATCCTGCAACGTTATTGTTTATTGGTGCAAATGAATCCCACTCTGTGTAAGGCAAGTAGAAGCTTATGGCCAACAATGTATCTGATGATTCCTTCGAAATCAATTCAGATGCCGATTCATCCGTCACAAACACCCACTGCTTCTTTTGATGAGCTTCTGTATACACCTCTCCCACGTAAACAACGAAAGCAGCTATATCAAATTCACTGAACAAAATTTGTGCAACAAATATTAGTAAAAACCTTGAAGCTATAGAAGCAGAACCAATTCCAAGACATTAGGAGAAGGCCCACCTGGAGAGAGGAACTTCGCCCAGATTTGATATTTTAACTGATGATCGTGGAGTGAAGAAAGGCCTGTAAAAAAACTTGTTGGCCATTCAATCTATTTCACACTTGAGCACATTGAGATCTAAGTCTAACAGATTAACTTACTCATATTTTTCCATTATTGAAGGAGACAGAGGCAGCCAATTGGTAGTTGAACCTCTTGCTTTCAAATAAAGGGTGCCCGAATAGGAGCTGCATGGTAAAAGACCTCCAACAGCATATGCCTGTCCCTCGATCAGGTCTAGTTTCTGTCAAAAATAGCAGGAAATTATCTCAAAGATGTATCAAGAAGCGTGTAATTAGAAAAGAAAGGAAGAAGTCTGAACAGATACTCAATACTCACGTATACGAATATAAGTCAATAGATTATGGACCACAATTGAATTCACCTGTTTCTCAGTTGGGTTCCATATAGTTATCAAGCCTTTGCCTGGGTAGCATTTTTGTTTATGACATTTATTAGTCAACCCGACAACTCTAACCCGCATAAATGGAGTGACCTCTCTCTCATTTAGGCCAGATGCTTCCAGAGCTTTCTCAATAGATTTTTGCATATCCAACTGCCTTATTTCCTAGCATAACAGAGGACATAATGAACAAACTCCTGCTGAAGATTTTAACAGTAAGTAAAGAAACATGTCACGCTATACCTCTAGTTTAGCTTTATACGAAGTAAAGGAGGTTAATTGTTTTGAGCTCATCCCAGCCATTAGTAATTCTGGTTCTGCAGCTGTCTCAAGTAATTTCAAGAGTTTGGCTCCTTCATCATTATCATGGTCGTCATCATCAAAAGAAACTTCTTTTTCATTTTGGAACTCAGACATAATCCCTTCTGCGACAACAGATCGCCTAGACCCAAAG